GTTTGAATCAATGAATAAATAAATGATCAGGTAAAGGGCAGTTTGCATTACTATTATTCTGGTTTAATATATATCTGTTTCTTCAGGAATTTATTGGGCATCTCTTTCAGCCTAAGACCTCTGTTCAGTGCTCAGGAAATAAGTATGGAAAAAACAAGTATTGATTAGGACACTCAAGAAGTTTCTAAACCTGATAGAGATTTGGTAAATTTTAGAAATGTCTTATTTACACTAATTTAAATTCTACCACTGCTCTTTTCCTCTCATTAATGCAAGTTCTGCTGGGTACTCTACTGATTTTTAAAAAAGGCTTAGCCCCTTTTCCTTCAGATATTTGAAACTGGTGATCATATTCTCCTGGGTCTTCTCTTCCCCAGGCTAAACAAAAAGACCCAGTGGGATTGTGTGACTCGAGTCTGCCAGCTGAGAATGGGGAAGGCAGACTGCGGCTGGAGGAACAGAAAATTAGATCTAGGAGCAGAGTGACTTCTTCAAAGAAAAGAGATGGAGTCCTTGGGGAAGACCCCATGGAATTAGGTTGGAGGTTGGGGCTAGGGACAAGACCCTGCTAATTACTGTAGTAGGAGATTATGTTGCCGTAGAAGAGCAGCTCACTGGGAATTACTCCTAAACTAACCATGCTAACCCCCCCAAAAAACTCACACAGTTACTGAAAGAAAGCCCATAAAGGAAGGCTGAGGGTACTGGAAGAGCCAAGGCTGCTGGGCATAGAAGAGGACACTCCAGCCCACTGGCCTCAGGACAGGAACCTGCTTGGGAAGAGACAGCAAACAACCACTCCTTCCTGTAGCCCAAACAAATCAGGCGACGGCCCACACTAAGGTCGAGAAAACCCTCTGGGTTCCGTTGGGGCTCCCTGAAAAAATACCTGGGTATTTTTATATCAGAAGTTGAAGGGCTCCATGGGGCTAATGTGGGAACTTGTGCTAGGAAGTCTAGAAAACCCGGTGATGGTGACAGAGGTCTAACAGCAACCTCAACTGTACATCCACAAGAACTGGGTGCTCTGAGGGGGAGCCCCTGAAACACTTCTATCTCATTTGGGACCTGAATGAGATTACTAAAAATTTCCACGTTTGGGGTTTCTAATGGGGTTTCCCCAAAACCACAGAGCTGTAGCAGCTGCTAAGATCTGCAGAGGTCTCTGAGGTGTCTGAGCAGACATCTTTCTATACAGAAGAAGCCAGACCAGACAAGAAGAAGCACACAGAAAGCAGAAGACCACAGCCACGCAGACTGGAAAAGACAAATTACGTATTCTCCCCCACACACCTCACTGCTCTCAGCAATGGTGTTTCCATCTAGCTGTGGGGTTTCCCAGGGACAGCAATCCCAAAATGTCCTAGCCCACCAGGGTCCTCAACCATAACTGTCCACATTAGCACTGGAAAGCCCCAGCAACACTCTGTCCCTCTAGGGAAGGTCACATTACATATACCATTTTGGGTGAACAACTTGGGGCTGAATTTGTTTCCTCAGAAACTCTGGGGGCAAAGTTCGGTCTTCTCTGGCAGGTAAACTATTCAGGCTTCAGAGGCAGGTAGTCTATTCAAAAGGGGTGCTTCCACCTTACAATTAAGGCCCAGGAAGGGCCTTTGTTCTAGATCCTTTACTAGAGTCAAGCTATGGTAGGTGGCTGTCATTATTGCATTTTACAGGGAGAGATGGATGAACAAGAGACAAACAGGTTCAGCATCTTGCTAGGTGACCCTAAGCAAGCAAGCAGTGGTGTGGCTATGAGTCTGGAATTCCAGTCCTTGGAGCATCCCTTCTTCCCACATGCACAATTCTTATCTATTGGTAGGGCCTGAGAGGGTCTTAACAATAAAAAAATTAACAGGAAGCCCACTCTGACTGGGCAAACTCCTGATACCCACTTGAGTTTACCAGTGCAAGAATCTGAGTCTACATACTTGCCTTTGGGAACTGCTACTGCCATAAAGGCACTGTTCTTCTCGCAGCTACTAAACAATGCCAAGATCAGACCAGAGTGAGCACCTCCGCAGGCATGTTTTACTCAGCCCAACAGCATCTGGCTTTCTGTGCTAGTCACTTTATTATTCCTTGGAGAACCTGATATGGATGGAAAGAGTTTTAGACTTTGGATTCAGGCCAACCTATGTGTAACTTCTCATTCAGTCACTTAACTGGCTGTGGGGCACCTGGGGCCAGTCACTCAGCTTCACAGGTAAACTGGGAATAAACCTACCTACCTTAAAGGTTATTGTGTGGAATACATAAAATAGCATGTCATTTCCATGAGGAAAGGTTCCGTATCTGGCTTGTGGCCAGCATCTAAGACAGTGTATGTGTCATAGTAGATGCTCAATAATTATAGCTGCATAAGTAAAAGACCTAAGACAATGCCTTGAACATAATATATACTCCATAAAGGCTCGTTTCCTTTCCTTTTCCTGTAGGGATGTTAAATTTAGAGAATACACAAGGATGAAACAACCCATAACTCCTATACTCATGGATCCCCCTCCAGCCACATCCTCCTGGAAGGTTATGAGATGCCACTGTAGCAGCCAGTTGGTGCAGCTCAAACCAAATGGTACCTGAGAGGAAAGTGGGCAGGTACCTTCCACCTGAAAGATCCTGAGTCACCCTGGCCAGTTTGGCTCAGTGGATAGAGCATCAACCTGCGAACTGAAGGGTCCTGGGTTCGATTCCGGTCAAGGGCACATGCCCAAGTTGTGGGCTCAATCCCCAGGAGGCAGCCGATCAATGATCCTTTCTCATCATTGATGTTTCTATCTCTCTTTCCTCTCCCTTTCTCTCTAAAACCAATAAAAATATATTTCCAAAAAAGAAAATAAAAAGATCTTGAGTCAATACCTTCTGGCCTCAGGGAAAATGCATGCCTAGAAATAGTTCTGACATAACTGGCTCATCTGCACACATCCCCTCTGTTCACCAAAAGGAAGAAGTATATGGTATGTTGTCCAGCGGGCTCTGGTAATTCTTGAGCGGTGAGAAAAATGGAATTTCAATCCAGTGGCTGTCTAATGAACTTGCCCAGTGCTGCTGTGTCTAAAACCTCTTTTCACATGCAACACTGATGACTGGCATCTCTGGCCCAGGTAGCCCTCTGCAGAGGCAGGCTGGTAGACCAGGCAACTCTCCCAGATCGCCTTTTGTTAATAGCTGGCAACAACCTACCTGTTAATAGGACCACTGGCCAAAGACAACAGTCATGCAAAGTAGGCAAATGGCCCAAGTCTACCTAGAGATGCCTCAGAGGGTGTGTCTGAATGAAGCTTTGGAATCCCGTCCCTCCTGTAATCAGCTGAACAAATATTTGCCCCCAAAGAGAATCAAAGCAGGGGGGAATGAGAGGTCATTGAACAAACCAACAGGAACTATTTAATCATTTATCCCCCCAGGGAGTTCATTTACAGAATGGCTTTCAAGTCTGGTCAGCCTTAGCTGGAGAGAACCCTCTCCTTTACCTCCCCCAAGCCCACCCCAATCATCTGACCTCATTGACTTATCTCTTTTCCTTGTACAAGTACTGGCAGTGGGAAGAGTTGATGAAGTTGCAAAGAAATGGGAAATAAGAAAGGGGGTGGGGTTCCAGAGCAAACTCAGAGGTCTCTGCTCATTCGTAAACTGAAGTGCCTACCACGCCCTAGGCCCAGCCTATGGATAATTGCATTCTTGACATTCCTGAGTCCATGGTGCATGGCCCCTTCCATCTTAGTTTCTTCAATAGATGACTTATTTTGCACAGCTTGCTCAATTTTAGGGGTATTCTGAAGGGACAGAATACCTCAACTAAGCCCCCACCTCCCCTAGGCAGGGAGATAGCACGAAAATAGGACTGAGGTCACTGTAGAATAGCAAAAATTGCCTACAATGACCACCGATACAGAATTTCCCACCACTGTCCCATCCTGGTTTGGTGACAAGCAAAAGAATTCTCTCTCCTGGGAAAGCAACGAGGCATGCCTCCTGGCCCCAACTGCTACAGCAAACGTGTTGGTGTCAGTCACTGTGCTCATATTAGCTCCAAGATTACAATACCCTGCAAGGCAAGGAGGGCTTGCCACATTTTTTTAGTGGAAGAAACTGAAGCTCAAGGTAAACTGGCCTGTCCATTGTCACACAGCTAGGTAAGTGACAGTGCTGGGACTCACACCCATGTCCGTTTGATTCTGAAGTCAGTCACTGACTCTTGATGTCCCTAAGCCCCACAGACTCAGTTCTTGCTTTGCCAGCAACAGTGCTCGGTGAAGAGGCCCCAGGGCCCTGGCCGGAAAGCAATAGGCAGAACAGCTGGAGCTCCCCAACCGACCCTAGGTAGTGAAGTACAAAGTTCAGGCTTAATGTGTGACACAGCAAGAGCTCAGGAAGCAGGCCAACCATGTAGAAAGTTGCACGCGTTAGAGCAAACGAACGCAGGGGTGCAGCACAAACACAACTGGCCACTGCCCCTAAACCAGGCAATCCTCAGCCATCCACGCCAGTGGGCACTCTGCCTGGCCTTGCCTTTTTCTGAGAGAATATAAGGTATGCAAACTTTAAAATAAAGAGAATTTGATGTGGGAGGGAAGCCCGAGGGAGGTAAGCATGGAGGGGCTTATCGGTCACTGATACTATCTTCTCTAGGCCTTATACTCATCACCTCTTTGGGTGGTGAGCCACTATGTCAGGGTGAGGGGAACACTGGACTAACTTCCCACTCTCAAATGAACAGGCTATGATTTCCTCCACCGAGGAACTGGAACACAGGCATGAAGGAGTGGGGTCAGGAGGGTGACCAGGATGAAAAATGCCCTGTCCTTCAGGAACTAGGTCATCTGTTCTTTTAGAACTGATGACCTTTTGCAGTGCTGAGACCAGTTCATGTCTCCTTAACAACACGTCCAGTAACCATCCAGCACAACAGGAAGAGATACGGGAAAAGGCTGATGAGATCTCTCCGAGCGGAGGCCAAGGAAAAGGGACACACAAGGAGGGGGCGTGGTCCTTACCCAGCCTCCGTTCTCCTGGATCCAAGGCTCTAGGTGGTCATTCAGGTAAGTGGCCATCCAAGTTGCAATCCGACTCACCAATACCTGCATCTCCTTGTCCACACTCTCCACGCACAGTGCCCCACCGAACGAGAAAAAGGCCACGATGCGACCCCAGTTCACCCCATCCCGGAAGAGTTCGTTCACGACTTGCTCAAAGCTCTGATACGCGGTCCCCGGGGTGATGTGGAGCTGGGATGTCAGGTCACTGAACGCCCGCCGGTACCTCAGTTCAAACTCATCGCCCGCCTCCCGCAGCGCCTGCTTCACCGCCGCCATGGGAATCGCCTCCCGGGCGTCCAGGCGGCTGCTGTGGCCGGTGGCTCCGTTCACCGCAGGGCTGTCCACCGGGTGCCAGGACGGGTTGCCATTGATGGCGCTGGGGGTGTCCACCTCTGCTTCAGTCCCCTCTGGGGCCTCAGTTCTGTTCTCTTCCACATCGCTAAACTGACTCCAGCTGTATCCCTTCTGGGAGAGCTTGTAGGAGAGAAAGTCAACCACCAGTTCCCGGTTGCTCTGAGACATTTTTATAATAGGGATGGGCTCCACCAGTCCATTGTCCGGAACACCTGCTCCACTCACCGAGTCTGGTCTCCCCGGCTAGTGGTTGCCTTCTGAGATCCGGGGCCGAGATAAGGTTCTGAAGGGAGAGAAAGAGCTTCAGGAAGGGGAAGAAAATAAAATAAATAAAAATTAATATGCAAGCCATCTAACCCACAGCATGGCATTCCACCTCCTCCAGATAACCACAACCGGTTTCTTTGTGGTTCTTAGGGAGGTCTGAGACTAGCTTCTCAAAAGACTTCCATCAAGTCAAATGGAAAGCACCAGCAAGCAGTCTCTGAACCATCATCACACCGGCCTCTCCCCACCACTCCCCCGCCCCCCACCCCAAACCCCGGCCACCTCCTCTTCCCCGAAGCTGTCGGCCCCCCATCCCCTCCACCCCCGCTCCACCTACATTCAAATGCGTCCCAGGCTACAAGCAGGCAGGTGCAGTCCCCGGACGATCTTTTGTACCATGGGGCCGGGGAGGAGGAGGTGGCTGCCGGGATGCCGGTAACTCAGCCGGCCTCACGGGCAGCGATCAAAAAAAAAAAAAAGAAAGAAAGAAGAAGAAGAAAAAAAAAAAAAAGAAACCGGCCGCGGCCGGAGGGATCATGCGAGCCGCCGGCTGCGCGTCCGGAGGGCGACGCAGGAATTAGGAAGCCGGGGAGCCGCCGCCGCGCTCGCTTCCTCCTCCATCGCCCAGAATGAGGGCGGCCTCCGCACCGGCAGTCCAGCCCCCTCGCTCGCTCCGCACGCTCCCCGCTCGCTGCCTCCTACTGGGAGCCGGGAGAACTCTCCCGGAGGCGGCGGCGCGGGCTCTAGGGCTTTCTGTTGATGTTGTTGTTGTTGTTTCTATTTAAGTACCGACCCCGGGTGGAGGCTTCCGAAACCCCCGGCAAGGACTTCTCTCAATGGGGCTCAGGGCTTCGAGGAGGGGCGGAGGGAAGGGGAAACCGCCTGGCCTCTGAGGTCTGACTTCGGAAACGCCGCCGCCGCCGCCGGGCCTTTCCGGGAGGCTGAGGCCCGGGGACCCCCCAGAAACGCCGCCGGTCGCCTCTGAATTCCCCCAAGGCCCTGGGCGCGGCGGCGGCGGCGGCGGCAGGGGGCTGCCGGGCCCTCCATTTCCCGCACCGGCACAATGGCCGCCGGCGCCCGCACAAAGCCGGGTGAGGGTGCGGGTGCGGGTGAGCGCCGGGCCTCTCCGGGCAGGGACAGGGTCAGGCCTGCTCGAGGACCCCGCAGCGGAGACCACGTTTTCCCGGAGCCGGGCTCCCGGCGGCTTCCTGGCGCCCCCCTCCCGGGAGGGCTGGGGGGTCGGGGGCTGCACCTCTCCGGAGCCGAGGTGGGTGGGCTGCGGCCTCGCGGCTCCTCCCGCGCCCGGGGCCGGGTACCCGCGGGGCCACCGCCCAGTTACTAAGCAACCGCTCTCCCTCAGGGGCGCCCCCTAGACCTTTCTGGGAGAAGGGGGTCTCGTCCCCGGCGGCCCGCCCCCAGGACCAATCAGAGAGCCCTGTCGGCACGGAAGCGGGACGGCGAGGGCTCCCATTGGGCGCAGCGCCTGCCACACACAGGGGAGGCGGTGCTCTCACCTGTGAGCCCCGCGAGCCGTGGGGGGCCACATTCCCCCTGCGTCGACCAGGTCGTTTCCAGATGCGAGGGCTCCTGGCGGCCGGGTTCCGCGCCGCTGACCCGGGCCGGCCTACCTTGCTGATGGCTCCCTCTGTCTCTTCCGAACGAGCCGGCCTCAGTTTCCCCTGAAGAGACCGGGAGAACTTGCAAGCTCAGTCACTTCCGGTGCCGAGGCAGCGCGCGCGAGCCCGAGACGCAAAGGGAGTGCACGCCTTGAGGACTGGCGTCAAGACCTGGAAGAGAGCGCCCCCTTGCAGTAGATCTCGGGAACTAAGGACGAGGAAATAAACCAACGTTTACATTCCTATTTCCATTCATTCATTCATTCATTCATTCATTCATTCGTTTAGTCATTTTCATCTACCTGTCAGCTTATATATCGAAAAAGCATTTCGTGTGGCTAAGAACATTTAGTTTAGGATTCCAACTCCAGTTAGTCAAGTTATTCAACAATCCTGTGCCTCAATTTTCTTAACTGTAAAATGAGTGAAAATCAACCTCCATCACTGAGTTACTGTGAGGATTAAAATAATTGATATTTGCCCTGTCTCCCTCCCCTCCTCCACACACACCGGTAGTTTAGATGGTTAGATTATTGTCCTGAGGCACCAAGGTTGGGAGTTGGCTGAAAGGTCAGAGCACATTCAAAGATCAATCAATGAATGCATAAATTAGTGGAACAATAAATCGATGTGTTCTCTCTCTCTCTCTTATTAATAAATAAAAATAACAAATAAGAGTTATTATTTGTAAAGTCCGTAGAACAGTGTATGATCCAGAGTATATGCTTTATGAATTCATCAAATGTACCGTGTTTCCCCGAAAATAAGACATCCTCCGAAACTAAGATCTACTTACAGGTTTCCTTCTGAGTGAAATATAAGGCATCCCCCCAAAATAAGCCCCCCCCCCCAGGCTAAACATGAGAGATTTGGTCCACTGATTCTGAAAGAAATGGAGTCACAAGAAATTCACCAGGAAATTCAGCAATTGGATTGTTATGTTGTTTCAGAAGATGATGACATGATTATCATTGAATAAATGAGTAAATTCTTGATACTGTAGGATTCACAGTTTGTCTGGTTTGTGTTGACAACTACCATACTACCATACCATATACAGGTAATAAATTTCCTTTATTTTCATTTAACAATAAATGTGTACTGTATTCTTATTCATGGAAAAATAAGACATCCCCTGAAAATAAGACCTAGCGCATCTTTGGGAGCAAAAATTAATATAAGACACTGTCTTATTTTCAGGGAAACAGGGTAGTATTGTTTGGGTTACTAAAGAAAAATTGGGAACAAGACATGTCCCTGACCTTTTAAACCCTTTAGATAGAGAGAGACAGTAAACAACTAAGAAAATATACAAACAGGGTAATTTCAAATAGTGACTAGGGCTAGGAAGAAAGTAAATCAGCGTACTGTAATAAAAAGGGTGAATGGAGAGTTGCTACCTTAGGCTGGGTATTCAAGAATGTAATCACTGCCCAGTGAGGGAGAGAAGCATTTATTCAACAACTTGTTTATGTAAGGTGACTAGTGATGCCCTCTAGTGTAAATTTAATTGATTAAAAATTAGGGCCCTAACCGATTTGGCTCAGTGGATAAGCATCAGCCTGCAGACAAGGGTTCCAGGTTCGATTCTGGTCAAGGTCATGTACCTTGGTTGCAGGCACATCCCCAGTAGGAGGTGTGCAGGAGGCAGCTGATCGATGTTTCCCTCTCATCAATGTTTCTTAACTCTATCTCCCTCCCTTCCTCTCTGTAAAAAAAAAAAAAAAATCAATAAAATACTTTTTAAAAAATTAGGTATACAGGAAAATGGGATATTAAAAATATACCAAAAAGCATAGATTAAAAAGTAAGTCCTCTTTTCACCCTACTTTCCAATCCCCAGTTCCCCTTATAGAGGTTCACTCTTATCTCTGTAGTCTTTCAGAGATTGTCACTGTATGCACAAGCAAATCCTATATAATAAAAAGGTAATATGCAAATCGACCCTTACACCCTCACAAAGACGGCTGCCCATGACCAGGCAGGCCATCAGGGGAGTTAGTGAGGGATGACCAAACGACTGAACAAGCAGGCTGCATGGGGCAACCAGGCTGGTGGGGGACAGTTGCAGGCAACCAGGCTGGGGGGGGGGGGGGGCAGTTGGGGGTGACCAGGCTAGCAGAGGGGAGCAGTTGGGGGCGACCAGGCCAGCAGGGGGCGGGCAATAAGAGGCGACTAGGTCAGTGGGGGCACAGTTGGGGGCGATTAGGCTGGCAGGGGAGCAGTGAGGGGCGACTAGGCCAGCAGGGGGGCAGTTAGAGGTGACCAGGTTGGCATGGGGAGTAGTTAGGAGCGACCAGGCTGGCAGATAGGGGCAGTTGAGGGCAACTAGGCTAGCGGGGGGGCGAGGGGGAGGCCAGTAAGGGGTGACCAGGCTGGCGGGGGAGGGGCAGTTAGAAGCAACCAGGCTGGGGGGGAAGGGAGAAAGTAATTAGGGGTGATCAGGCCGGCACACAGAGGCAGTGAGGGGCTATCAGGTGGCAGGGTAGGGGCAGTTAGGGGTGACCAGGCAGGCGACAATTAGGAGCCAGCAGTCCGGGGGTCGGGCATCCTCTGAGGGGTCCAGTATTGGGCTGAGGGGATTCCCCCACCCTGGTGCACAAATTTTATGCACCGGGTCTCTAGTTTATATGTATAAATGTTTTACACAAATACTTTCACATCTTGCTTTTTTCACTGAGCTCTACATTTTGGATCTGCCTCAATTTTTTGAAGTTAACAACTTTATAAAGATGTCATAATTTACTTGCTCAATCCCCTATTTGGGAACACTTAGGTAGTTTCCAATCTCTTTCTTCCCAAACAATGTTATAACTTGTCCACTTGTTATTTTGCATATGTGGGAGTTTATCTGTTAGGTAAATTCCTGGGAATGGAATTATCAGCAAGTGAGTATATGGATTTGTTTTTGCTTTGTTTTAATCGATATTGGCAAGGCAGTCTCCACAGCAGTGGTACCAGTTTGTCCTACCATCAATGAATGTGCCGATTTCCTCACATCCTGAACTACACAATGTGTTATGAAACCTTTTTATCCTTGCCAATAAGATAGATTAAAAACTGCCCTTGCCAAAACCGGTTTGGCTCAATGGATAGAGCGTCAGCCTTTGGACTGAAAGGTCCCAGGTTCAATTCCGGTCAAGGGCATGTACCTTGGTTGCGGGCACATCCCCAGTGGAGGGTGTGCAGGAGGTAGCTGATTGATGTTTCTCATCGATGTTTCTAACTATCTCTCTCCCTTTCTTTCTGTGAAAAACCAATAAAATATATTTAAAAACAAACAAA